GAGAGAGAGAGAGAGAGAGAGAGAGAGCACGTAAGAATGCGTTAAAGCGATCTACGAGCGTAAGACAAAGCGACCATGTGACTGGAACAGGTTCCGGGGAGCCAAATGTGTGCGCGGCGGTTACGTGTGCGTCTCGCGCGCGAGTCCAACGAAATGAGCGAGGCGTTCGCGCTCTAAAGATAGAAGTTGATGTGTCTTCGGCTAATGCAACACGTAGCCTTTGAATCAGAGTGCAAGCACGAAACAAAGACAAATGACGACGCGATCCAGCGGCGGAGAACGAATTCGCGTAAGAGTAAAGCAGCGAAATCGCAGCTGGGCGCGACCGTCGCTTAGGCACGTGATCGAATACCGCGAGAGGATAGTCACTTTTGGAGCAGTCATTGTTTCCTAAGAGAGAAATTTGAATGCAAAATTGACAGGGCAGAGGGGAGGGAGCCGAGCCGAAGATCGAAAGGCGTCGGGCAGGAGTAGAAGTGTAGTCGGTTTGGCTCAATGATGCATGCTGGATGCGCAGACAGTGCTGAAATCTCAGTGTCGTCGGGAGGAGGCACGCGCGTAACGTTCCCGCGATTAAGTCACACACGTCAGTGGCGAACCAACTCGCGTTGCTCTCCTCGAGAGCCGGCCCCGGCGTGGCGGACTTATACGATGTATACGAGCCAAGTCGCCGCCGTTGCCGCTCGAAGTTAAGGCGTCGCCTCGTATCTCGAATATCAATGTTAATCGTAATGGGCGATTTAACCTCGTCAGTATGCGCGTTCCATTTTCCCTGCCGACACGCGTTAGCGTGGCACACGGAGGCGACGTATGAATGACGGGGAAAAAATGATCGCGCTTGCGTCAAGAAAGTGGCACCGTTCTGCTCGCGATTACAGATCACGGGCTCGGGAAAAGAACTCTGCGGGCGAACGAAAATGCCCGGCAGACGAAAACCCCGGATTTTACACCTTGAAACGCCGTTTCTGATATCGCGTGAAACATCTTCCCGCTTCGATACATCTCCTCTCTACTATTTATTTTTTTTTTTTTTTTTTCGGAGAATGTAAAAATCGATATTTAAAGTCAATTTATATCAAAATAGTATCAACCTTAAAGATTGTCAATTTTAGAAATTTCAAGAAAAAGAGAACAGGAAAACGATTAGCTAAAGACAAAATATATTATATTTTCTTAAAGAAATACTGCATGAAATCTCTTCCGGTTTAATATTTTCAATTTTCTCTCTTTCTTTTTTTATTTATCTTTAAGAAAATTTAAAAAAATTTAGATCAGCTTAAAAGATTGTCAATTTTAGAAATCTTGAGACAGGGAGATGATCAGTTAAGAGCAAAATGTACCTTCTTGAAGGAATACCGCGTGAAATTGCTTCCGACTCAATATCTTCGATTTCCTCTATTTTCTTCTTTTCTTATTTATTTATTTTAGAAAATTTAAAAATGAAAATTTCAAATCAATTATTTAGAAGATTGTTAATCTTAGAAATTTAGATAAGCAGCTAAAGAGGCAAACTCGCTGGATTGTACCTTTTTAAAAGAATGCCGTCAGTTATAATTGAATTAAATCAATTTCTATACTTTCTTATCGAACGTGAGGAATGAAGATTCGCGAGTGAATGCTCCGAAAATCGTACAAGTTTCTCACCTCCTGTCGAATTCGATCTCGCTCGCATTCTGTTCTCGTACATCTCACATGCGACACTCTAGAACAACCTAAACGGGAGCCGGTCGAGGCGCCTTTATCTTCCCTCCGTCTTTCCGAAACATCGAGTTCGCGAAGGAAGTCGAAACTTTTGCGGCGCTCTGTACACGGCATACACCGTCGTAGGTATAGAGGAAGAGAGAATGGGGGAGAGAGAGAGAGAGAGAGGGAGAGAAAGAGAGAGACAGAAGGAAGAAGGGAGAAAGAGACGGAATCGGCGGTCGGGCGCGCACGTAAAATGTGCAATTGGACCAACGACTACGACGCCGATGACGACGACGACGACGACGACGACGACGACGACGACGACGACGACGTCGATGACGGGCACGACACACACGCACGACATATACACACAAACGTACACACGCGATACGGCTCGGCGTTTCGTGGCTCTCGGTGGCCGCTAAGGACGCGCGCGTCCATGTGCACGTGCGCGCACACGCGAGCACGCACTCACGCATACGCACGTCCGGAGAACGATGGTGCATCGCGACGTTTGTATGCACCGACGTCGCTTCATCGTCGTTGTGGTCGTCGTCGTCTACGACGACGACACGACGACGTTCGGATGATAATACGGATAGCCGGTTGCGATGGCACGACGGCGAATGTGGTGGACAAGCCTGTGGTGTTGGTACCTCGCTATGGCGGCTGGTAGTAGTGCGCCTAGTTGCGGCCGGTAGTAGTAGTGCAGTAGTTTAGTAGTAGTTGTGGTGGTAGTAGTAGTAGCAGCAATAATAGTAGTAGTGCCGACAGTGGCGATGGTGGTGGTGGTGGTGGTGGCGGCGGCGGTAGTGGTGGTGGTAGCGGTGGTGGCACTGATGGTGGTGGTAGTTGCGGGTGGTGGTGGTGGACAACGAGAGAGAGATGGTGGGGTGTTCGGATGGCGGCGCTCCTAGCGCGCAAGCCGCGCCGTCCGACGCGAATGCAGTTACGGGAGCGCAGCGCGACCCAACGCAACTCGACTAACGTCGCATATCCGGAGCCGGATCAAACGTCGAGGCTTGGGCAAGTGGAGTGCGTGTGCGTGTGTCGTCGTCTGGTCTCCCTCTCGTCCGTGTTTGACGCGCGAGTACCGGGAGCAGGGGGAGATTGACGCGGGCAGACAGAGTGCAGGGGGTGAAAAAAGAAAAGAAAAAAAAGACGCGGTGTACAAGGACGAGGAAGGGTGGAGAGAGAGAGAGAGAGAGAGAGAGTAGGAAGGCAATCGGAAGGAAACGAAGCTCTTGGCCCGTCTTGATTGACGGTGAAGAAAGAGAGAGGGAGAGATAGACAGAGGGGTCGAGAGCGGGGGTGACCGTGAAGGGTAAAATTGGCCGCGAAGTGGAAGAGGTCGGTCGAGACGAGTCGTTGTCGCCGCCGCTGCCGTCACCGTTGTTGTTGTTATTGTTGTTATTGTTATTGTGCACGCGGTCCGATTCGGGTCGCCGATCGTGATAGAGAGCAACCCTCGGCCGCGAGTCCGAGGTCGTCGATCGCCATCGTCCGCCAATCGTCATCGTTTGACGGCGCGTCGCGCGGTCAAGGAGAACGAGGGAGAGGAACCAGCGAGGAGCGACGACGTGAGAACGACCGGGTGGAATCGGCCGGCGAGTCAGGAAAAAAGATCGCCGCCATTGTCTCTCGTCGTCTCATCGCTCCGTCCACCTCCGTCTTGGTACCACCAGCGTAATCGCGTCGCGATCGCGCGAGGCTGCGCGACACGCAGGGAAATCACCGGCGCTACAACGCGAGGACCGCGTAGACGCACCGCCGCGAAAACGAACGGAGCAACAGGCTCCTTCGAGAGAGAAAGAGAGAGAGAGAGACGGGAGAGGGCGGACGGGGGTGCATCGGAGCATCCGTCGATCGTCGCGGCGCCCGCGCGCCCGCGTGCCATCAGTCCGCTTCGACGTGGCTCGTCGCCGTGTCTCGCGATCGCCTGTGCTCCGTTTCCCGCGAGTGTACTCCGCCAAAAGGAGAGGAGAGAAGAGGAAATCGCCCTGCGGATATAACAAGTAGACTTCGGAGCGAGGTCCGTTCATCGGAGGGAAGAAGGATGTCGTCTGGAAAGCGCGCCGATCGCGAAGATCGGCTGCTTCTCGGAGTGTCGGCGAGCAACGTCGCGGAGCTCTGAAGAGGTGGTGCACGCGTGAGAGAGGACGGAGAAGCGCGACGGTCCTTCCCGCCGCGAGAAGTGAGTAATCGTGACTATTGCGCGAATCGTGCGTTCGAAGGATAGGGGGGGGGGAAGGGAGGAGAGGAGGGAAAACGGAGGTAGGAGGGGAGCGGAAAGAAATTCAGAGAAAACACGAAAATGCGTTTGTTAAATGCGTTCTCTGAAATTCGCCGGTTCCTTTGCAAACGATCGCGCAGTCAATTTAGAGGTACACAGTGACAGAGTGCCGGAGGAAGAACGAAAGAGAGGTGCATGTGCATGTACGTAGATCGTGTGCGAGTGAGAAGGAGTATTCTCCAACGCGCGCGCGCGCGCGCGTTCGCATTCGCGTTCGCGTTTGCGCTCGCGCCCGTTCGCCGTCGCGTTCGCGCGTGTGCGTCCGAGGAGAATGTGCACGTGTCATCGTGTGTGCCTCTAGGTGCGCGAGAGAGCAGAGATGGGGGACGTAGAGAGGAGACGGTGAGAGAGGATGAAAGAAAGAGAGAGGAGAGGAAAGGAGAAGAGAAGATAGTCGCGAAGAGGGCCGATCGACGGCCCGCGCGAGGCGGACTAGAGTCACTCTTAGATACTAAAATGGCCGAAAAGATTGCGCGCGGGCGCGCAAGATGCGTTTCCTCGTTGCGAACGTCGTCGTGAGTGTGTTCAGACGAGCGGATGACGATCGTCGGACGCATCATTTGACGCATCGTCATCAGATCAAGAGAGACAGCGAGAGAAAGAGAGAACGAAAGTAGGAGAGAGAGAAAGAGAGAAAGAAAGAAAGAAAAAGAGAGAGAGAAAGAGATCCGGAGCATTCGATGTGTTGATGTCGCATTCGGTGACGCCTTCGCCGGCATTTTTCTTATCGTTGTTTTGTCTACGATCATCTTCTACCTTTCGACTGCCTTTTCCTATCTGTTTCTCCTTCTCTCTCTCTCTCTCTCTCTCTCTCTCTCTCTCTCTCTCTCTCCCTGGCGGCAAATTGACCCCGTTACGAGAGAGATCGCCAGAGGCGAGTTATTTCGCACGCTGTGTATGTCTTTCATTGCCGTTAGAGTTTTCTCATCGCCAATGTGAGGGAGATGTCAGCCGATCCGTTTCTGTGATATTAATTATGGTCGAAGCGGTTCGAAACGATCGTTGGATAAGCTCCTCCGTTCGTTAATTGCCGCCAACGGCTCAATTTTCAGCTATTGTCCTAATGTCATCGGAGCGTATGTAGCTCTCGATGCAGACAACAATTTTGGCCACCTGTTCGATGAAATTGAAGAGGGTTAAAGTCGAAGTTACGAGGATCCGTATAAATCGTTTCGCGTGTAGGATAAAGCACGCGTAAGTTTTCAGTGTATCCGCAGGAGCGATGACTCCGTTGACAGCAAAGTTTTGTGATCTTGTTTACTATCAGAGACAGCTGCGAATTTTCTCCGGTATTCTTTTACAGCTCATGGAGTGTCAAATTGGGAGGGACACGCGCTGAAATGGCGAACTATCTCGTTAGGCGTTAAGTCATTGCGCGATTCCGCACGGCAATTGCCATCGACGTCATTTTTTTTCCACCGATATATATTTGTGCCACTCATTCTTTCTCTCTCTGTTTGTCTGTCTGTCTGTCTCTCTCTCTCTCTCTCTCTCTCTCTGTATCCTTTTCACATGTCGCGCACTGCAATATCTCGACAACCACGCGTGAACACGCGCGCGCCGGCTGAAATTTCCGCCGGCACGCACTGGCCACGTAATATCGAGAATCATATTTTCGCCTCGATAGAAAAGGCATCGTTGTGACTATTAATCCGCGAGTCGTTTCACGCGAGCGAATTTGATCCAGATCGATTCCAATCGCGCCATTGTGTCGGATAACGTTTACCAAGGTTCTTTTGTGCGCCGGAAAAACACGTTGCTTTGATTGCGGGGCGCGCTTTTCCGAAAATCGATGCGAATCTGTAATAATTAGCGCTTTGAGGAACTGAAGCGACCGGTGCATTTCCGATTTTGCACCTCATCCGCTTCAGACGGGGAGCATACGATTACTCAAAGTGTAACGAAATTGAGGTTACACGCGGGCGAGATAAATCGCCAATGAATTTTTCATTTTGCGCGAAATCGATTCGTCCGAAGTCGGCGGGTGTCACGGTTCTGTTGCTCAATTCATATGTTAATAATTCCCACTTAAATGCAATACCTTTTATTCCCTTTTTTAAATCACTGATTCAGAGAAAATGTCTTTAATTTCCCGCTTTCGGAAAATGTCATTAAACGTCGCTCAAAGTGTTGCTGGCACTTCAGTAGCGTACTATCGCTGATAATCATTGTATAATAATGAATATCATGTGATTCATACATACGCAAATTTAGAAATTTCCACGCAGCTCGGAATTTCTTTCTTTTCCTGCGCGCGCTCAGAGTCACACGCGTGCCTGACGCGCGTCTTCTTCAAGGCGAGGAGACACGAGGATCAATTAATAATCCGCGGGATCCGCGATCGAATAAAAATGCTCGGCTGCAGGAACGGAAATGCGTCGAGGAGAATGCATAGTAAATGCGAGACGCGGCGGGAGCGCGAGCGCGCGCGCGTCTGTCAGTTTTATCGAGCGAAGCCGGTCGTCACGTGTTCCGCGCGGAAACCTGTCGCTCCGACAAGTCGGAGAGACCGGAACCTCGTTGTCTCCGACGTTACCGACGTGTACAAGCGATATGGACGTCCGAAAGCTGAAAACGCGGAGATTCGAGCGCGCTCGCTCGCACGCTCGCTCGCTCACGTACACGGCCGAGGCGCAAATCGAAATTCTTTCCGTCCCGTCCTCGGATTTCGGTGTCCGTGCGGTGTCGTTTCATCCGGTGGATTCTGCCAATAAATTTCGATCACTCTCCATGAAGTTCCTTGATATCCCCCCGACATATTCCGAACGCGGACATTGGGATAATCCGCGAAATATCACGGGGCCGCGCGGTTACGCGCGACGAGATCATCTCTACGTTCTATTTCAAAACGCTTTTAATTCTTTTCCGATTCGGTTTTGACGCGTTTCACCCGCGCTCCCCTCCCCCTCCCTTGCCTTCCTAGCTCGTTGTGGAACATCAGGCCGGCTCGCGACCCGAAATTTCAAGGACTGTACGATCGCGAGTTTTTCGCAGGGTGTTCATTTGTGAGTGGGAGTTGGAGAGTTGCGATTGATTAATTGTTCGATTTTATTCACTTGCTCTCTCTCTCTCTCTCGCTCTCGATTCGTCAAGTGGATTTCACTCGCGATTCGACCACCGGTGTTCCTCCCCAATCGAGGTCGAAGCAAGCTGCCGTTTGGGCATCGCGAGAATCGGTGGCGCACCTTTCGTTTTGCAAGAACTCGGCTCCGCCGTTCTTGTCCGGAAGGGTGGAAACGCAACCGAGGAGTAGCAGCGTGGCGCGGCTACTCCTCAGAATGCAATATTCTTCCGATAACAGAGGCGCGATCTATCGAGTAAACAGATTCCTGGATGTTTACGTTCTACGAACCAATTACACTATGCCCAGTCGAGCGACCAGCGCTTGGTTCGCAGGGTAATTAGAACGTGCATGTCGCAAAAAGAACGCACAGGCTGTGTGCGAGGCTAATTCGATGGAAATGCGTGTAAACCGGCGTAAACTGGCCTCGCCCGACGCTCTTTTTTGTCCCGATCGAACCCGGCGAACTCTCGCGGAAATCTCGCGGCGAGTTTCACGCCGTTCTTCGCTCCACGACCGACGCCCTGCCAATTTCCGCCTCGTCCCATCGAGACCGTAGCGACACGTGACGAAATCACGGAGTCTGGACAAGATGCAGGCTGAAAAAAAAGAAGCCGTCGTATTGATCTTTGAAATAATTCTGTGAGCAATCCAGTGTGTATATATATATTATTTAGTGAGAAAACAGCGACTGTCCAAAGATTAGAGAGAGAAAATATAAGTGTGGATGAATGTGAGACGAGAATCACGCTCATAACGACGCGGCGGATTCGCGTAGAGGATTAAAACAGTTGCATAATGTTTGCGATACTTGTTCTGGTGAATTTGTACGATACAATGATACCTAAATGACACTCCGAGAAAAAGACTTGAAAGTTAATTTGTGGAATATAAAGTTTATTCACAGAAGCAAACCTTGTATCTCACAAATAAATTTGCGAGTAATTTTCCCTCAGTTGTATTAAGTCACATTTAAATGATGTTGTCTTTATAAATCGCTCTTGTGCAGCTGGTATTTGATAAAAGTTTCGCAGTTCTCAAACCTGCCAATGCGCAAGCTCGTGCGCACAGAAGTTCGCAGTCTCATTAACTTTGCGTGTTTATAAACTTGTGGAAAACGTACAAGTGTCGCAAATTTTATGCAAACGACTATACGCGTATCACGCTTGCCGGCCAAGAGAGGCTTCGCGGAAAATCGTAACGTATGATGCAGTCCCCCGAGTGATTCGTGCAAGAAAATGAGAAGAAAGAGAGAACCGTCAGACTCGATTTCGCGTGGAGAGAAGTACCGTCAACGAGCGCGCAATTTCTCGAAGCCGGCGATCGTCCTCAGACGAATCTCGTCACCGATCTCTTTGTCACGGGAAGTTCGACTCATCGGAGTGACTCACGGCCGCGCGTGAGCGCGGCCTCGCGAATTTGCTCGCCCGTGGCGATAAATCGCGTATCGTTACCTCGGAAGTAGCGGACGGCCGTGCCCGGTCGGACGTTTAACGGTGCGTTGAGCACGGACGTTTATTGACGTAATAATTTAGCGAAATTAATTTGCGCGCGGCGCGAAAGATCGGCCGTATCGGCCGCGGCGGCTCGCGACAACACCGTCGCGAATTCGTGCGGTATCGACGATACACGACCGCGCTCGTTTTCGTACGCGCGTGCCTACGCAGCCGGACGAATTATCGCCAGTGCGTTTCCCTCCTCGTCTCCTCCTCCCTCCCTTCTCTCCTTTTCGTTTGGGTATACTTGTTTTTGTGTCTTCTTCCGCCATAACTATTTTTCTGTTTTTTTTTTATTATTTCTCATCTCGTTATTAACATTGTCATTATTCTAATCTAGTTTCTCATCGTCTTTCCAATACGATGCTTAAACTTTCTTTTTCTTTTTGATTATTGATTAGAATTTCTTTTGTCTTTTTTATTTTTCCATCCGTAACTGTATGTCGTTGTGTTACATCCGCTACGATATTTTTTTTTTCATTCTACTTTTATATGTAGAGTCGAAATTTTGATTCTACTCTCACGCCTTTCCATTCAACGCCTATTTTGAGATATTCTGAAATCTACATTAACTTCCTTTGGTTTTATTTACCCGAGTCGAAATTTTGATCTCACTTTCAGCCTCATCCCATTAAATCCCATTAAAAACACCTATTTTGATATTCTGAAGACTATTTTGAAAAAAAAGTGAAAAGAGAAATTTCGAACGTTATCAGAGTAGGAGTAAATTCATTAGAATTGAATCTACTTTGTTAACTGAACTTCTACTGCGGTGTAGCATATTTTACTCTCGTACTGCCTTATGCCTGAAAGAATTTTGTCCTAAGACTTAATAAATCTTTCTCTCTCTCTTCTCTCTGTTTGTTTCGCTGCGAGTGTCATGAGAGTAATCGCCGTCCTCCTTCGTCCACGAATTCGCGCGTCGAGAGCGCGTTACTCGACTTATCTCGGCCTCCGTCATTTTCGCGAAAATCTCGCGCGGCCACGCCAAGATTTTCCAGAATATCGCTCGTAGGCGTCGCCCGCGCCTCCAACGATACTTCATATAACGCGCGCAGATAACGATCGGGGCGGTATTAAAACGTAATCAGCCCGGCCACGCGCAATTCCCGCGCGATTATATCTCGACGGCGCGATCGGGAAAGCGCCGAACGCGCGATTATCTTCGGCGCGTTTTCGTATCGTGCGGTTACTACATCTACATTTCTCGCGGCCGCACAGCGGCCTGAAATTGATCGCGCCTCTCTTTCTCCCTCGCGCCGCGAAATGTCAAGGCGAAGACGGCGAGTCTCTCGAGCTCTCGCTCTCTCGCTCGCCCGTCCGCTCGCTCGTTCCTTCGTCCGTTCGCGTGCGCGCACGTGGCGATTTTTCGAAATCGAGCGCGATTTTCGCGCCGCCTCGTCGTCACGTAGCGCGCCCGATTATGTGTGACGTGATACAATTCACATCGCGCTATATATATACTCGCGCCAAATCATCGCGACACATTTTTTACCACCCCGCGAGCAGTCCTCGACTTTGGACTCGCTTCTGGAGTAACTTTCCGCGCGACGTCCGAAAGACGCACGCTATCTGAGAATTACGAAGTGTAGAGAAAAAAAGCAAACATGTATTTGAAAGTATTTATATGGTAATGCTTGCGCGCGCAACACACGCGTTTTTTCTGTATTCCTTTTTGCCAATTTCCTTTTTCTCGTAATGTTTCACATTTCCTTCGTGAGGGAGGGAGAGAGAGACGCGGATATCTCCGCGTGCGCGTCTCCGTATCCATTCGACACGGCGTATCGCGGTGATCCTTTTTATGAGCCTGGGAAAATCACGTATCCCGCAGCATGCACCAAATAATAATATCCTCGGGAGATGAAACGACTCGCGCGTGATTACTATACACATTAAATCTCAGGTTTTTGCCGAGGCAGGGAACAGATACGCTGGTGCAGCCTGTTTCTCTGTCAATTGCACGATCGGTCGTATACGCTTCTTTGCCTCGCCGTCAATAGGCCCCATCAATAGCGCGCGTGTGTCGGAGACCGTAATGCGTGAATACGCGTACACTCGTTATGCCCCGCACAGAGAAAGGCGGATTTTTGTCTCTTGACGGAGTAACGGAATCTTCAATTCGAGTGGTAGATATCGTGTGCTTTTACGCGCTTAATCTATCCACCTAGTTTCAATTTGTATGCTAACTACTTGATATGTCTAATAAATCCGGCATCAGGCTATGCACAGGATAATATATTCTCTCTCTATCTCTCTCTTTCTCTTTTTCTAACTCTTTCTCTCTCGCTTTCTTTATCTCTCTCTAACTGTCTCTCCAACTCCCTCTCTTTTTCTCCCTCTCTGTGTTACTCTTTCTTTCTCTCTTTCAACGCGATGACACTTTCGACGCGGGTTGAAAACGCATCCTATAAAGTTCGGGCACGTTTTATCGACAGGCGTTTCCAATCGTGAACCGGTTCAAATGCAAACTATCAGCAAACCGGGCTTCTGGTAGTTTTCGAAAATTTGGCGCACGCCGAAAGCATTTTTAAAAGTCATTTTCGATGCGGCGCGTCAAACGAGGGGCACTTTTTCGACTGCAGCGAATTACGCTCGTTTACGTTTTCGCTCGCACGTCTGCCTCTCTACTCTCCCCCCTCTCTTCGCGCTATCAAAATGCAGTCGTCGTGAAAACGCAATAACGTTCGAAGGTGAATGTAAATAATCGTCATCGCGTACGAAAGTACGCCGACGGAACACGGGGTCGCAAATGACACGAGTCGCGCGATGATGACATGACGGAACAATCTCGGCGATTGTTTTACATGTTAAGCAACAATGCGCAATCATAGGTATTCTTATTTTGAATGTGACGTAGATCAGGCATTGCAAAACGCCCGTGTCGTGCGAGAGACGCGGAGATACTAACGGGCGTTGTGCGATATATCGGTTTTAACGCGATATTCAAACAGCGCACTGTACACGTATCATTCGTATAAATCCGTTACCACCTCTGCATCGTTGTGTTTGCACGGCAATTAACGACGGGAAATTCGCATCCTTCGTGTCTGTTCGCCGCGATATTGTTTGGAAAACTTCCTCGAGTCGAAATTTTTGCGCCGAATTACCATTGCAAATTCTGTCGGACTTGAAGAACCGGTGGAGAATCTCGAAGTACACGAAGAAAATATCACGGTAAACGTTACAAAAAATTACTACATATTTGCTTAAAAATATTATATTATGCACGCTTGATTTTTTGTTACAAAATTTTTGTAATTGCTTGAAATACATTTTCATATCATTATATCGTGCACCGGATAAATTGTCAAATTTTTTTACTACTTATATAACAATCAGTACTATAATTTCAATAAAGTCCAGCTTTACAAAAAAAAAGTATTAGAAAAAGAAATCTAATTTCTACTAAAAGAATATTTTTTTTTGTGTATAACGTTGTTATCAACGTTATTGTTATTGTCTTTCGATGGAACGAATAGTTACAACTATTTTGTTGAGACTGAAGTAATTTGTTTATAAATTATTTAATATTCAATTGTTTCTCAATAGAATCTACCTGAGTTTGATCTCTCTTTATTCGTAATTTCACTAAGCAATGTATTAATTATGTAACTTATTCAACCATCGACAAAATATTGCGATAAGCAAGTATTAATAATATAAGGCCAATAAGATAATACGAGTTTCTAATAACATCGATTAGATCTTAATTTGATTTTTAGTCTTGCCCAGATAAAGCTCAAATTAAAAAATTTAATTGCCTTTGGTAGAGATGAAACAACAACATTTTCTTTCTTCATAATCTCTTTTTCCTTATTCTTGTTTTTATTGGCGTTGAAAACTTCGGCAGGATTTAAAGGCTCAAGACAGATGAGAGATCAAGTCTCGCGAGCGACTGCCGCTGCGTCCTGCGTCCTGCGTTCAGTCTTGGAGTCGACTTCTGAAGAAGATACGATTCGATCGGAAACGCGATGTTAATGAGTCATCGTGCGTTAATCGACGACGATCGTGCGTTAATCGACGACGAGAGTAGCACACTTTCAGTACGCGCCGCGTACGCAACCGCTCTTCGATAAATGGACAATTCAGCGATCTCGAAAATATGCTGTAACAAGACGTTGCAGGTCGTAATTTCTCGGTCACCGAATATGCACGTCATTGATCGGTGAGCGGCGATGGTGGGGGGCGCCCGTCTGTTGTATCCTTCTGCCGATTGTTTTGGTACTCTCACGCGTCACGTACTAGTCCGCGACCGCGTCATTAGTCCTGCGTCGGCAAGCGCGAAGTACATGCCGTGTAGTCCGTATATCGGTGCGTCGTTGACTACGATTTATTCGCTGAACGGAGAGAAAGATGAGAGTATTTTCGTTGGCCGTTGAAATATTTTATCGGATGCCTTCGCCGCGGCATCGCGCGTTAATTAACACGCGTTTTCTCCGATCGAATCTTATCCACGCGAGTGTCAGTGTTGGCAAATATTCTGTGCGTCGAAGTAGCCAGGAATAGGACGCTGAATTCGGAAGCCAGGACGCAGGATGCTTGCACGTGAGCAGCCATAAACTTCCAGGTGTGTCCAATTATTTATTATATTGAATGATATCCGCTATCAACGGGCGTTTGACGAAATTATCGAGAATAAGGAGATGCCCGAGTCGAAATTTAGAACCCGTTCTGACATTCACAGTTTATCGTTTGACGAATAATTATAGCTTTATAAATTTATCTGATTATCCGTTAACTGTTATTTCATAGAGGAAATCGATCTAAAGTCGAATAATGCTCCATAAATGCGAGTCTGTAATTAATTATGCTTTCAAATAAAAGATCGTAAGTAATTTATAGCTGCTAAGATTTGGTGGAATTAAACAAATATCTAGTGGAATATGAACAATCCAAAAATTCCGATTGAAGTAACTCGAATTCTGTTTAACAAGATTTTTGGTAGACTAGCCAAACATGTCCGGTTAGTCTACCAAAAATCTTGTTAACTTAAATAGAATTCGGGAATTCTGGATCGTTCATATTTGACCAGATATTTGGTTAATTCAATCAAATATTTTTTTCCGTGTGTGAATATCGGCCTTAGAATCTGGTATGAATCATGACGTTCGCGGTTAATAACGTTCCTCGAGCAGCGAGTCTCATCTTGTTTACATTCGCCAACATTTTTTTTGTTTTCGCTTAGTCATGTTTTTGTGCGGAATCCAAGTTTAGATCTTTATTAGCAAATAACACAACTGTTGTATTTGCGTGTACAATTCTTTTCTCGTCAGCTCTTGTAACAACTTTAAATCCTATTGAAATATTCAACGCCAATAAAAGAATTAGAATACAGAGAGAAAAAAAATGTTGATTTAACTAAAATTATAATTATTTTTGCTCCCATATTTTTTAATAATATCTTTTTATAATATAATAGTAGTAGTAACATACATATAAGATTATTATCAGTGCTGGCAGTAGAATCTAATAAAAAATGATTTTCTTGATCATAATTTATATTATTTTTGTGTAATTGCAATTATAAATATCAAACAACTTTTTTTTTTCAAGAGTTATGAATGAAACGAGCACTTTTGTCTATAGATTCTATTATTTAATTATTTAATAAACTCATTAATAGTTTAATAAACGCTTGCATATGTAGCACAGTAGTTCTATCCGTAATTGAATAAGTTACATAATAATATATTATCTATTGAAATTAAGAATATAAATTAAAGTTAGGTAGAATATACATCGAGGTAATTAAATATTAAGTAAACTTTGAATAAGTGCCGCTTCGAGTCGCAATATACGGAGAAAATGGCAGTAAGTAAGCACTTGCGACATCAAGGTAGTGCAATTGCCCACGATAATAGCATTATATTCTTCACTGGCCCGTCACAAGTACCACGAAATTTGCAGGGTTCGCGTAGAAACATAGAATTTCGACTCAGGATCTCGTCTCCCCTCGCGGAATCGTCGAGACAAATTTTGAAATCTCCTAGTTTAGCGGCGAGCACGCCATCGTCGCTCCGCGACCTCCCTGCTTTAGAAAGCTGAAATTTGCCGTATTCAGTAGGTTAAAGTAGAAAATTCGGTGTGACCTCGATTTAGAACTCCGCTTACGGCGCGTCGCATCGCTAAGTCTTTGGGCGTCGAGTGAGCGCGAGCGCGCGAAAAGATTCTTCTTCAAATGTTCTCGCCACGGAGTATCGGCCAAAAAGAAATTAAAAAAATATAAAAAAATAAACGAAATCGAAACTCGAAATGTATCAAAGATCGTATGTCAAAGGTATATTTTTGTCGGACTTTATTGCGTTGTAAGCGCGTTTGATGTGCGTCTCTCTCTCTCTCTCTCTTTTTCTCTCTATCTCTCCCCTCTCCTCCTCGCTTTTTCTCTCTCTTTCTCCCGCGGCACGCAAATTAAACGTATCGTCGAAAACAGCAATTGAATTAATTCAAAGCCGGCGTTTATGAAGAGCGGCGTAAATCTGTACACGGCGGTGAGCGAGCGGGTGGGAAAGCGCGCGCGGATTGATTCGGAGGGCGCGCGCCGCGCGTAACGGCGCGAAAAAGCCGGCGGAATTTTCCGGCCGAGCGCTAACGAACTCTACGAGCGGGAATACGCGTTTTGCCGATTTCGGGGGCGGCAGGAGGAGGCGCGAGAGCGGGCGGAGAGGGAGAAAAAAAGTGGAAAAGCGCGGCGGTGTCGGTAATCGGGACGAAAAACCGGCTCGTTTCCGCGAAACGAAAAAAAATGGCCGCGAGCCCGCCGACGTAATGGACCTCGATGAAGTTTACTATGACGCGCGGGCACATGCGGGCGCGCGGTTATCGTGGAAACGGCGCGCCATGCCGGTGAAAAAGAGAAAAGGACGGCAGAAAAGAGAGAAAAGGAACGATCGAAAACGAAGTTATGCGAAATGGTGAATTATCGTGGTGCGGAGACGCGCAGAGAGAGAGAGAGAGAGAGAGAGAGAGAGAGAGAGAGAAAGAAAGAGAGAGAAGACGAGGAGATAAAAGACTGAATTTGCTGCATGCTGTTGTTGTTCCGCTGAGAAGTGCACCATTAAGCGTTAGGTCAAAACATCTTGTTAATGTAATCATGGAAGTGTATCTCTGTAGTCCGTCTCCTTTCCGCAACTTTCGTCTACTTCGGGAAGGACTCGTGAGCCTCTAACGACGTCAAAACACGAACTATTTATATCACTTGCCGTACCTCACAGTAAGATCATGTAATTTCACTCGTCTTCACGAAAAATTCAGATTCTCACCTCCGCTTTCGCGATCTCTTCATAGCATGGTACCTTGTGTCATTTGCACGGCCAAGCTTGACACTTCTATAGCCATCGCGCAGCTTCCAGTACGTTTACTCTGCCCAATGTCAAAAATAACAATCCGACCCAATGGGCGTAACTATGTAAATTCAACTTTGTTGCGACGCGTGATAGTTGCACGTGTGAAAGATAAATCGTTGTTGCACAGAGAAAAAGAGAGAGAGAGAGAGGGGGGGGGAGGAGAAGGAGAAGAAAAAACAGATAACCTCATTGCAACGTCGATAATGGGAGCATTGTTGCGTTTGGACCAACGCAAATTTGAGGAAGAAAAATCTGAGGGTAGAGAGAGAGGGGGGGGGGGG